TTCAACTAAGTTTTATTAGAAATGAAATTACAGTAAGGCCATTTTAAGCCTCTTAATGATAAACTGCTAAAATGCTTTATAGAAAGTTACATCATTTTATACCCTCATGGCAGTCAAACATTATTATATATTTTAACCTTGTCAATTCTGGCCCTCCCTAACCCATCTTTAAAAACCTTGGACAAAACAAATGGTATCTTGTTTTAAATTGTACATCCTTAATTATCTCTAGTGCTGAATGCTTGATTCATGTTCTCAGCATAGTTTTTCTACAGAAGTTTTAATGATATTTATCTAATTGATTTCTAAGCGTTCTTTATGTCCAAAGTATAATACTTAATCATCTATGTGGATAGAGAGGTTGACTGAATTCATTTCAAAGGATTAAGTGCCAAAAATTAAAACAAACTGCCAAAAATTGAAAGCAACCAATTTGAAAGGCAAAATGATGGTTCACTTGCCTTCAACAAAACAGGTTCCAGAAATTTTTACAATGTGTACCAATAGAATCCATTTTGGGGGATTTATGTGGCTCAAATTTCATTGAAAACATGTTTAGAAGAATTTAGTATGAATTCCTGACAGGTAGCATCTTACTCATGTTTGTATTCATAGCTTATAATTTTCTGCTGGCACTAAGCAAGAGACTCAACAAAATATTGTTGACTAATAAATGAAAAATATTAAATTAAAAAAAAAATCCCTTTTGAGTGCAAGTTAAACTATTTGTACTAGAGCTTTCACTTTTTCAAATCAATATATATACTGACTGAAAATATCCAAAAGACTATCTCTGGACACCTCCATCTATGCCTCCTGCTTTAGCAAAAACAGAATCCAATTCTCACTCCCCAGAGACAAACTGTGGACATCAGATATTGATATTAGCTGACTGAAACTTGGGTTTAGCTTGTTGGAATGTGATAGTAACAAGTTGAAGTTAATTATAATCACAAAGTTCTCTGCCTAATTTACAAGACAAACTAGACAGACTATGTCACAACTGTGCCACTAGTAAAAATAAAAGTCAGTTAAATGAGGGGGCAGGGAGAACAAACAAGATGGAGAGCAAGTTTTAGTGTCTCTTCTGACATCCATTTTGACCTTTTCCTTCTTTCTTGTCTTCTCAGTGACTTTTTGCTTTCTTCATGTATGATATTCTTGATGTCATCCCACAACTCCTCTGGTCTTCTGTCTTTAGTGTTTAATGCATCAAATCTGTTCTTCAGATGAGCTCTAAATTCAGGTGGAATATGTTCAAGGGTAAATTGCTACAATTTGATGTACCTGACCTATACTCATGGAGGTGGTACCACGGTGGTGGTTATGTGCCATGGAGTCGGTTCCGACTCATAGCGACCCTGTACAGGGTTTCCAAGGCTGTATATCTTTACAGGAGCAGAAAGCCTCATCTTTCTCCCATGGAACAGCTGGTAGTTTTGAACTGCTGACCTTAAGGTTTGCAGCCTGAATTGCAACCACTGTATTACCAGAGCTTCATACTCATGGAGGAAGTAACCATAAATACCAACAGAGAGGGAATGAGTCTTCACATCAAGTATCAATGCTATTATCTCTGTACACAGAATAGATAGGGACGGGCAACTCAGATATTGGCTACCTAAAATGAGGGGGTGATAAAGGCATGAAGTGACTGGCTTACAAGTTTTTAAGAGGGCGTTTAAGTGTGGGGGGGAAGAAATAACTCCCACTAAATAGTTTTCATCTTGTCTAGATGGGTCTGGCAAAAAGAGTTGGGGATAAGAGTCATATGATTCAATAGTGAATAATTGTTATCATGACTAATTGCGACTGTCACAATTGTAAAGGTGGAAGTTTCATAACAAAAACAGGAGTGGTTAATCTTATAGTCCAAAACAGAGGGCCCTAGTACTATCAAGGGAGAAGAGCAAAAGCAGAATGAGGGACCTTATTTAGAGACGCAGCGACATCAGAAATGGAAGCAGAGATGGGGTCATGCAGAGAGGGAGCAGCTGAGGACTCTAGATTCATGGGAAGAAAGGGACTAAGAGCTGGTGGCCAGGAGGCAGACTTGCAGAATATGCCCTTTGGAGGTGTAAACTGTTAAACATGCCTGAGTGGTTTTTTTTGTTTGTTTGTTTGTTTTAAAAGCTAAAATGAACAGAGAGTTGTACATGGAGGGGATTATAATCATTGTAATGAAACAAGATGCATGATTTGTTGAATGTAAAACTGATGATCTGCCCTGTAAACTATCACTCAATCCACAATAAAAACCTTAAAATACAAAGAAACAAACAACAACAACAACAAAAAGGAAATGAGGGAGCAATAAAGGTACAAAGAGACTGGCTTACAAGTTTTTAAGAGGAAGTATAGTTTGAAAGTGTGCGGGGAATGATAAAGTCCCCACTGAACAGTTTTCATCTTGTTTAGATGGGTATGGTGAAAAGAGATGGGGATAAGAGTCTTATGTTTCAATAGTGAGTAACTGTTATCATGACTAATTGAGATTGTCACAATTGTAATGGTAGATGTTTTGTAACATAAACAGGGGAGTAGTTAATCTTACAGAGGACCCCAGGACCATCAATGGAGAAGAGCACAAGCAGAAAGTGGGACCTTATTCAGAGAAGCAGCGATGCCAGAGATGGAGGCAGAGATGGGGCCAAGGAGAGAAAGGACAGCTGAGGACTCTAGATTCATGGAGTTAGAGAGACTGAGAGCTGGTGGCCAGGAGTCAGGCTTGCAGAATGTGCCCTTTGGTGGTTTAAATTATTATATACCTGAGTGTTTTTGTTGTTTTTTGTTAAAAGAGCTAAAATGAATAGAGAGAAATACTGTTAACTGATGGTACATGGAGGGGATTATAATCATTGTAATGAAACAAAGTATATGATTTGTTGAATGTAAAACTTATGATCTGCCCTGTAAACTTTCTCTCAATTCACAATAAAAACTTAAAAAAAAAAAAAAAGTCAGTTAAGCATATTTCAGATAAAACCTACCAAAATTTCTCGAAATGAAAGTGCATTAATTCCTGAGAAACTCCCTTTCTGGTAGTTTTCCCTTCCTATTTTCCTTATTCAGACTTCTGTTTACATCAAACTGGTCCCAACATCTTCAACATAGCAAACACTCTTAAATTCTCTTCACTCAGCTCCCTTTTCTTTCAACATTTGTTGTACTGCTATTGCTTTCTTAAACCATCGAGTCAATTCGACTCAGAGTGACCCAGTAGAGGGTTTCCAAGGCGTAAGTAGCTGGTGGGTTTGAACCTTGTGGTTATAAGTCCAGTGCTTATCTTACAGCGCCACAGCAAGACTCCTTTAATGTTGCTACTCTATAGTATATTCACCATTAAAAAAAAAAATCGATGTTTTAGAGTTGTGATTTTTACAATCTATTCACCTCAAGGAGAGTAGCTACTCAGAAAAAGAAGAACAGTAATGAACTTTTTAGAAATGAGTGGCTAACAACATTTCAAACCTCTATGAGTCTCAAAACGAATGAACAGCAAATGCGGTTCCCTAACTAGAAATAAGAATTCAAGAAGAAGAGCGTTTTCTTACCAAGAAATCTTGAGAGATTTTAAACTCTGCAAATGATGACAGAAGGCAATGAATTCAAGCTACCTCCTACCTGGTCTCCTTGCTATCATTGCCACTGTTGTACCTTTGACCCCAAGTCACTCACACAGCTCTCAGAGATATATTCCTAACATCCTTATATCATATGCCTTCCATGGCTCCCTATCATGACATGATAAAGTCCATGTTCTTGGCATATTACAGGTCCTTCATAATACTACATTTACCGACCTCTCTAGGCAGACACAAGTAACACAAACTATCTATTCAATTTGCCACAGTTGTATCTGCCTTTGTACATATTAATACATTTATCACTCTGTAAGGTGAGAACTTTGTCATTTACCTCTTTTCACTTTTAGAAATGTTAGCTCTTAAGAGGACACGAAATTTGCCTTATTTAACTTTGTATTGTGCCTAACATATAACAAAAATGTGGTAGAATAAAGGGTTCATGAATTGCTTAGAAGTAAGAAGTATCTTTCTTCAGTTCCATAAGGAACACCTGACACAATGCCAGAGCCTTCTCAGGAGTACAATAGGTATTTTCTTTGAATCTTATTTCTTTTACTGATTCATTCATTGTCTTAATGTTTATAATAAATATTTGAGTGACTACTATGTGCTTAATACAGTACTTGATCAGAACTTTAGTGATTGCTTCAGGAAGGAGACAACGTAAAATGTAAACTTCGATAGAATATATACTGTTGTTGTTGTTAAGTGCTGTTGAGTCAGTTCCGACCCATAGCGACCCTGTACAGGGTTTCTGAGGCTGTCAATCTTTACGGGAGCAGAATGCCGCATCTTTCTCTCGTAGAGTGGCTGGTAGTTTCGAACTGCTGGCCTTAAGGTTCATAGCCCGATTCGTAACCACTACGCTACCAGAGCTCCTTATACTAGTCATTTTCAATTGTGAACTTGAGTGGAATGATTTCATCAGTATTTTACAAACTTTAATCTACAGTTCAAAATTTTAAACTTTTACTCAATTTTGGTGATATCCCATTTTGGAAATAGGAAACTTTACAGTTCAAGAGGACTTAAAACTGTGCTAGAAAGAGAACAATAAAAACAAAACTGGTAGCAATGAATGTGTCCCAAGATTTAAGTCATTCAAATTTGAAGATGAGGAGAACGAAAATGGACCAAAAATATAAGAAAATCAGATTTCATAAGATGATATTTGACAGTCTTCTTTAAACAAGGTTAATGGAAGAATATATGCCAAATCTAACAGTGGTAACCTAATGGAAAGTAAGTAGGATACATTCACAATTTATTGTTTCACATTTATGTTAACGCTTAATATTTATGATGAACTGGTTACATACAAAAACAAAACCTACCATATCTACCATGTTCCCCAAATAAAAACTTAACAGTCAATATGTACATTCCTACATGACTGTTATTGGCATTACCTACCTAAACAGTTTTGGAGGCAAGATACTAAATCGTGTTTTATCCAGAATTTTCCTGATTTTGTTTCTTCCACCTGAAACAGTATTTGCTTTAACTTTCTTATTTCCTTTCTCCTGTGATGTTTGTTCAATATCTCCTGGTACATCCTGGATTGAATGGCGATTACTTTTTTTCTCAGCAATTCTGGGAATATGAGGAACACCAGCTTTTTCCTGTTCAGTCCTACTAAGCAATTCTTTGAACACTGTAGGAATAAATAAAGCTTGTCATTTCTTTTACCAATAAAAAAACTGAAAGAGAAACACAGTTGCTTTCCATTACTTGATCTTACACAGCCCCATTCATTAAACAGTATAAAATTTTTATTGTTGTTGTTAAGTAATGAGGAGTTGGTTCCTACTCATAGTGACCCTGCACAGGGTTTCCAAGGCTGTAAATCTTTATGGGATCAGAACGCCTCATCTTTCTCCCCCAGAACCGCTGGTAGTTTCAAACTGCTGACCTTGAGGTTAGCAGCCCGATTCGTAACAATTACGCTACCAAATTTCCTTTATACCCACCCTTTATCTATCAGTTTTCTTCTGGTTTTGAATCTGACTATACCCGAAGTTAAGGAATCCTGATGTGGTGCTGTGAGTAATATGTCATACTGCAAAACCATTTGAACTGCCAGGTTGGCGGTTCAAGTTCACCAGCTGCTCCTCGGAAACCTGAAACAGGGTTGCTATGTGTCAGAACTGACTCGACAGGATTTAACAACAACAACATACCAGAAGTTTAAACCAGATTCAACAGAAAATGTGGAATACAGAGTATCATTGCTGTTGTTATATGGCTCTTAATCAAAACCAGAGAACAACAAAAAGACTTTACCCATGTTTTATCAGCTACACAAAGGCATTCGACTGTGTAGATCATAAAAAGTTTTGGATAACATTACGAAAGAATAGGAATTTCAAAATACTTAACTGTGCTCATATGGAACCTGTACAAGGATTCAGAGGTAGTTGTTCAAACAGAACAATGATATACCAAATGGTTCAAAATTGGAAAAGATATATGGCATAGTTCTATCCTTTCACTTTGTTTATTTGTATGATGAGCAAAAAACCTGAGAAGAAGACCTATATGAAAAGAACCCAGCATAAGGACTGGAGGAAAACTTATTAACAACCTGCTACATGCAAATGATACAACCTTACTTGCTGAAAATAAAGAGCATTTTAAGCATTTACTGATGAAGGTCAAAATCTAAAACTTTCAATATGGAATAGACCTCAACAGGAAGAAAAAAAAAAGCCTTAAAACTGAACCAACATGAAAACTTAGAAGAGATGGATACCTTTTTAGATAAACACAACCTATCTAAACTTACACACAATGAAGTAGAAAACCTGAACAGCTCCATAACAAAAGAAGAAATTGATCAGGTCATCAAAAGACTCCCAACCAAAAAAAGCCCAGGCCCAGACAGCTTCACTGGTGAATTCT